AATTATGCATACACATTTTTAGCATTCCCCAAATGGCTTGTTGACCATGTAAGGAAAAATCTCTTCCGCTTCCGGCAAATCACCAGAATTGGATAGCAAACGTTAGTGGTAAGTGCGACTTAAAAGGATATGCTAAAAACTATCCTGTGTCATTATGCTTCCCATCATCCAATGCATGACCGTTCCACGTCATTTCCCGTGACCCATACGGAACAAAATATCTGCAAAAACGAGTACCAAACTTGCTACTAATTCAAGTACAACATTATCAAGATAAGGGTGACACCGATAAAAATGGCTACTGAAAGAGCGAGGAAGTTCTCATAAAGTAGGGAAGGCAAACGCCTAACAAGGCGGCTGGACCGGCGTACAGCATAAATTATCTAAACTCGCTGGCTTTCCACGAGCCGTATATATTTAGTGAACGGCAAATGCGCTGGACATCTGCGGTCCAATGGACTGAGAAGGGCTGCAATCGTGTGTTTACGGTTTCTGCTTCCTTACATCTAGTATGTACCCGCTGCCAATCGGAGACAACATTCAGTTGCGCATATCATTCTTCACATAATACCTAAGCAGACTGAAAGCATGTAATCGATTGGGAAATCATCCACCATGTCCACATCTAAAGCAACGAAAGGAGAGGGTTTTTTTGGAATACTTTCGCATAGAAAAGCTTCTCCGGAGTACTCAGTGGGTACGCGGAAAAGTTACCTTGTGTTTCACGTACACTCCATGCTAAATGCATCTATCGCAGTAGTAACGTCCAGAGTGTTCCTTTTTGTGCTTAACGTATGAGCGCGCACGGGTCCCACAGATAATAACGGTCAAACGAGATTTTTCTGGTGGATCGTCGAATAGGACTGTAAGAGACAGTTGTCTTCCAGGAAACGTAATTCTGTGCTTACGTTGTTTGCTTTCTTGCTGCCACCATAAGCCGCCCCCCACAGGGAAAGACTTGGTGACTACAGTGGTAACCCGAGCATATTTGACTCTTCGAAGTATCGTAAGGCCGAAATCCATTAATATGAAGTTTTCCACCATCATTTAAAAGCGAATGTCCGAAGCATACACTCTGTAGGACCTTCACAACACCAATGTGACCACACGTGTCTGATTAGACCACGCGCTGCGTACAATATCTATGAATACTCATTAGTGTCGCGCACAGTTCCGCATTAATGGTATCCACGTGCGAATGAACCCAGGCAGTTGGCGCATAAAATGCCTCAGATACTTGTGATTTAACGATCCTGACGCGCCTGTCAGGATTCTTTGGATCTCCTTCTACTTGGTTTACGTCCAACGGTTGATTAACTACGTAATGAAACGCTACTAATATTTACTCTAAATGTCCCTAACCCTTAGTTCTTTATGATGAACGAATTTCATAGCCAGCAGAGGCATACTGCTCTTGGTCCAGCATGAATGTGTTAGCGAATCGCTTGGTCACACGATAAATGGTGATACGAGAAGGGAATTTAGTCGCAACTTGGTAACTGCAGCAGCGTTCCCTTCTACAAATAACAAGAATAACGAGATACCTATGATGATGAATGATAATGATTAAGTTAACTCACGAAAGAGGTTGGCTCACCGATAATGCGCAACAGGCGACTTCGAAAGTAAAACCGAACCCTGTGCAAATTAGAGAGTGTTCCTGATGTACTTAAACAACCTATTTGTCGGAACAAATACGAATTTTGCTGCGCAAGAATTACTTGCTTATTTGTGTCGTATATCGCTTCACAACGAGCCTAAATAGCACGGCTCGTATGAAGACGGTTATTGGTTAAGCAGTATGAACAACTACGTCAAAGGAGACCGCAGCGCAGTCGAAAGTTTCGTGTCTCACGGAAGCTGGATTATAGTCACTAAACAATAGCTATGGCAGGCATACCAATAACCGGCAGTGCACACACGCAAGCATGTGCACCACAAGCGCCTGACACCGGGTATCACCATCTTATTTAGTTTTTAATAAAACTATACTATGTAACTAGAACTTCCTTCTATTATTCTGAACACGTTCGTCAGATAACATCGTCATTCCATGTATTATTTTCAATTTAAAGGATTCAACGTTGGTTAATAGACCAAAACAGCCAAGCGCTTGCACTATCAGGGTAGGCTTATAGTCATAGTCAGCTGTTTTTGTATGCACATGGGTGGGCGTCCGCGATTGACAACGATGGCCTCCAGTAGTTTGAGCACGTGGGGCCACTGATCGTGCATTAAAACTATGAGCTACTCATTATGATTAACTCGGTGGCCGGTGATCAGCAAGTTCCTTGTGATTGTCGAGGCAGCTTCGTTTCCCGATTCCGTCTTCACCTACTCCATCCAGCTGCGTATTTACTTGAGGATTTATTCCTTAATTCTGACACCTTGACTACGGTCATTAAGCCCAACATAGCTGTCTTCACATCTACAGGTGAATTTGTATAGGCAATGGGACATGCAGTCTCTCGTCGTTGATGTCTTAATCGAACGTATTACCGAAGTTCTCGTTTAGGTGAATAGTCGCAGCTCGGTCGCATTTTATGCTCTTCTTAGTGAAGCCCTTATTCGTTTCCCGTTGACATTCATTATCTGGTCCCCTTTTTAATGCCTCTCCATGAAGATTGGCTTCTTTGAGACTGTGGGCAGACAATCCCACTTGGTTGTTTCGCTGAGACGCTTAATAGATTGCAACAGTTAACCGTTGGATTGCAGCGTATCAAATAGCAGATCTCTCTGCTTCTATGGTATCATATGGCCGATAACATAGTGTCCTGACGAGCGAGCGTTTGTGTTGCATAGGAAAGAAGCTTGTAAATTGCATATACTGACGGAACCATCTGACCGCCATGTAATCAGAACATCTGGACACGACCGGACAACTATCTTACTCAGTTTCACGCATTCTTGTAGCGACACTGTGCATGCTGCAGTGAAGCAAATGAGCTCTCCTCAGCACACTGCGGCGGTTATCGCACGTAACCACACTGACACTAAATTTTCCTCTGGGTGATTTGCCAATATCCACTTTTTTCTATAGTTTACACATTACACTGCTAATATATTAAGGTATATGAAGGTGTAGACTGAATGCTTCGCTTTGCCTGACTCAGTAACGGTCGGTCTTTCTCGTATGGGTCTCAGTGCGCTCGTGCTAGGTTACGTTGTTTTTCGTCTCCAGTCTCAACTCGCACGTAGGTCTGGCGTCTATGTCACATTGAGCCGCAACGTACTGAATTTCATTAGCTACACTGCGTGCTGGGTACTATCTGTGAAGTACGTTCGTCCGTTCCGATTGAGAGTCGAAACAACTAAGACGCGTTATAACACCGATGTATTGTCCGCGTCATTTTTGGTTAAAAACATTGTCCGAGATGACGCAGTCGAGTGTTCTGGCGTGTTTCTGCACTCACTTCTTTAACTGGACTCCTACCGATGTAGGGGCTTTTCCTCTCGTTATTTTTCCATATCTTGCTTTGCTTCTTTTTGTCATCAGTAGCAGCACATCAGCAATATGAACTGGTGCTTCCCTCTCGTACACTCATGGTGACCTATATAAGAAGGAATAATTAGGTGGGGAGAACGGGGACCTAGTATGAGACATGAATCCAGCCGTTAACAATCAGGGTGCCTGCATCATGTCAACATACTGTGATAGACATCTGAAGATCGTGTGATTATGAGACGGCATTGGCGGGACAGTTTTCTTTTGGCTTCCATTACCGTGCGTTATGCTAAGCTTTACCTCACAGATAACTCAGCTCCAGACACTTTAAGCAGGCAGTCCGACTTCGAGAGGGCAGCAAACGGGCTTCTAGTACCAGTTCAAAGCCATATACCGCTAAGTCTCGAGCCAAGCACAAGGCGGATCTCATGGACGCAAATCTGAAGGGCGAGGCGGACTCCCGGTGCCCAGTTTAGTCATCACTGAATTCTTTTCACCACTACATGCTCCTAGAATACGGCGATTCCATTTTGCGCGCTTCGGTATTGAGAGTGTGGCTTATGTACCGTGCGCATAAGCTGGACAATCAGTTTGGTTGCACTGTGTTCGGCCCCGGCGGCAGCTTGAGATGTTGCCTTACTTTTTACCGCTTCTTTTCTATTTTTAGCGAATGAGCTGGGTTGGAAGTATTTCGGTGTTGCTCTTCCCAACACAGACACACCACGACCGCGATTTCGTCCTGGTTTGGATTCATCAGCTATAGATAACGTAAGCTGGCGTGGAGCTCAGAGCCTAGTGGTTCACGGCTGACATCCTGATCACTATGCCACTGAGATCCTCGAGCAACGCTTGGCACAGATGTGTTGTTCGCTTTTCTACTCCCCATGTCCATCTTCGGTGTAAATTAGCGTGAAAGTGCCTTACTTCAGCTTATGTTTTTTTGGTCACATCAAGTCGCACTGACGATTGGTTTTTCTGACTCTCCCAAGCAATCGGTCGTTTCGGAACGTCCAGCGTACTGTGTTCCCATCACATTCTACTGCGGACTTAGGTTTTTCCGTAGTACATTGCACTGCACATAAATAACGATTGGCTACTGCCCTTGGGTATTTGCTGAATGCGGTTTTCCTCCGGCAAGCCGTGTCTATCGAGTATGAAACGCGTTCGTACACCAGCAACCAAACAGCTTACTCAATTCCCTACAAAATTGCCCCATCTTCGTTTTGTGTACTCCTGTTCACTCAATGCGATGCGATTAAATCCGCTTCGTACGATTGAGCTTAGTGCCAACGCATTGCTTGTATGCTATTTGACTGTCTCTGACCTGCACGGTCAGGAATTTAAGGGAGGTTATTAGCTGAACACTCCGCTGGTTGATCAGTGGAATCTTTGCTAACTAACGTGCATTACATCTCGGCTATAATTTTCTTCTCTATGGTCAAATACGTTTGCCGATTTTAATGGGAACTGCTGAGCAGTAGTTCGCGCGAGGTCATCGTGCTTTCCAGGGACTATACTTTTCTACTACTCTCTTTTATGACTACCTTTTCCGCAGACGCAAGCAGCTGCCGCTCCGTGCTTTTGCGTCACTGACACTTCTCTGATCCACTGGAATACTCAAACGCATGGAGGAAGTTCCCGAGATCGCCTGCTCTACCTCGATGCATTCCGCTATCAACCGCCTTCATCGCACATCACAAATAGGGTAAACAGCCGAACCCTCTGGGAACACACGAATTCCATTCTGGATGAGTATGACGACAACACGGACGGTTGGAAACCCCTGATCGGGCCAGATCGGACCTGATAATGTTTTGTAGCGAGGGAAATCTGTACTTACACTATTCCCTATACTTTACTTTCAGACACATTTACCCGTTGGGATTTATTTTCGGATGCAATTCTACTCGGAATTGGTTGTTTCCTCCCGCTACTTCCTGCTCAGTTGTTGTACATTTCCCTTTGCTACTTGCCAAATACATTCCTTTTTTATTGAACTCATTTCTCTTTGCTACCATTTTCAACTTTTCGTTGCACACGTTGGGTCGACGATTTAGCTTGCTGAAAACCGCTCATCCATGCGATTCACTCCACGTTTTATTGTCGACTGTCGATCTATTCGCTGAGATGTCAGTGGCGTCCAGCTCCCAAATTGCCTCCATCCCATATTTATCCGAAAACAGGAAGGATGGCATACTGCCCGACCCAGAAGGGCCTGACATACCAGACATTAACTCACCACTCTGATTCGGTTACCGAACTACCTGTCCCCAATTTGTTCACACAAACGTGTCTGGTTTGGACCCTTCTGGCAGACGAAGCAGCGGTTAGCGCATGACAACGATTCGTCAGTCAGTTTAACTGGTAGCCAAAGCATCAGAAACTAAAACTGTCCACTCCTGAAACGTGATTCCATCTATGCGAAACAGGACACACAAGTGTATAGCGGTGCGAAACTCCACCTGGCATTTCTATAAACTGTCTCCGAACACCGAAACCTGGATGGCCTATGACCTAACGTAACCAATGTACTCAACTTGTTCGCAAGGATAAAATATCATGCCACCCGAAGTTGACAATGTGCATGGTGTCCAATCACGAGCTGTTTTCTCAACTTGTAAACTAGGGATGTCTAAGGTCCGGCCCGCTTTGACAGTTGAACTGGCCCACAGTCACATCATGAAATAACAAATTCAAGCTTGACCTATTTTCCTTACAAATGGCATTATGTAGATTACAAAAAAGGCACATACGTTATGAATATAAATTTCAATTCCGTCAGATGCTGACAGAAATCATTGATGCCGTACTGCTTATTTTTAACCAACTAGGGATAATCAAGATAGCACCTTTGCTGAATGTGTCTTCACTAAATAGGCTGTTAAAGATATATATATATATATATATATATATATATATATATATATATATATATATATACGGAAACATTTCTCTGTATATTATCAAGTGCATACTGCAGATCGCGTGCAAACATATGTATATAGTTAAGTGAGGTTCTTCGCAGTCAGTTTCCAAATCACATAGTCGTCCACATGCCCGGAAAAGCACTAGACTGCAGTTTCAGCCTGTTGGGCATCATCAGTAGTGCGGATCCATCAGGATTCGAACCCATGACCACCAACGGATTGAACCGCCAGTCAGCAGCTTATGCCACTGGGCCACGGGGGACAGCTTCGGACCGTCGTGATTTACAAGCTAACTGCGATATAGCGCGTCTTATCCTCCACTGCCATGCAAGTTACGAACGTTGCAGAGGACAGGGTTGGCCCCGAAAGACACGACGTCCACTAACAGTAGCTATGTACGACATAGCATTTAGAAACTGTCAGGGCAGGTATATTTCGATGTACTCATGAGGAGGGGATTTTTGATGTATATAGCATCATGAACATCTGGTATCGTTGGGATAACAAATACACCAAAGCACATACACCGACACACATATAGACAATCACTCACACACTTGTTCGTTTGTCAGCTGGCCTACTACCACGGCAGAGCCAATGCGATGAACGCGTCCTTTTGTAAACATAGGGTGGGTCGCAGTTGTTTGATGGCCACCGCTTCGCCATATCATATAACGTGGGTGTTATTTGACGCGTAGATCACTCGGAATGTGCGCGCAGAGTCCACGTTGTGTCTCTCTGTCAGCAGGTGTCGGGCGATTGACGAGGCTGGATGGCAAATCCTTAGCACTTGCAGTGATGGTTGAGGTCGTTTAGGAAATGCTCCGCATTTCGCACCTGCAGCTGACACTCTGTCATACGCACATAGTCGGCCTTGCAACTACATGTAAATTGGTAAAGCATGTGTGAACGATTTTGCAGAGGTACTAGTGACTTAACCAACGGAGTAGGGATGCGAGTCGTTTTGTACAGTAATACCGGTTGCTCTATGGAGTATACATGTGCCACTTCGGATTTCAAACGTCATTGAAATATTTGGCTTACATCGCCCCCCTTAAACGGTAGTTGCAGCATTACTTTCAATTTCGGTACAGTGGGTAGTTTCTCTTCTGGTAGCTAAATTGAGCGACGAAAGTAAGCGGATACCTGTTTTCTGTCAGGGTGTTGGTATGCAGTTGCAACTCCTGTTTGAGCGTATCAGGAGTGCATATTTTCCTCGCTCTATCAAAACTTGTTGATCTCGAATCTCAGTACCGGAGTATGAGTACCAGACAAAAGTCACCGCTCGAAGTTAAACATTTGAAAGTCTTGAAGAAACTCAGATCGGAAGGAAAAGTAGTTATACTCCACCCAGATAAGGGGTCAGGTGCTGTAGTGCTGGATAAAACCGATTATGTAAATAAGATGATGACGACACGGAATGCTCGCACCAACTTCGAGCTAGACAGTTCCCCTGATCACCTAGATGAACTGCAGAGGAGGATAAACACGGGGTTACCACGGTTGCTGCAGGGAAACATTATTAAGCCTGAGAGCACTAAACCGTTGAAACCCAGGGGCACGCAAACACCACAGCTCTATGGGTTGCCAAAATTACACAAGGAAGATGTGCCACTGAGACCGATTTTGTCTATGAGCAATCCGCCGCAATATAACTTGTCTAAATGGTTAGTCAAGATACTTGAGCCATTCAGGAAGTCAATGGTTGCTTACAGTCTAAAGTATACATTCGAATTAATGCAGCTACTGAACAGCATAGAGCTGAAAGGCATGGTTATGTCCAGCATTGACATTGTCTCACTGTTCACAAATGTGCCACTGAAAGAGACCATCCAGATTAAAGGTAAGTGTGTGACTGAGAGTCAGTTGGAAATAGGCCTCCAGTCTCTGAATTGGAAAGACTGCTACTCCTGTGCACATGGAATGTAAGATTTTATCTCCAACAATAAGGCTATCGACAGGTGGATGGTGTCACAATGGGCAGTCGGCTCGGACCACTGCTGGCGGATATTTTCGTTGCTCACCTCGAAAATCAAGCTAGGAACGAAATTAACCAAGCCGTGCTTTTTCGCAGGTATATGGACGACATTCTGCTCATTTCTAGTCAATAGGTCCAATCTCACTCAACTGAGTAACAAGTTAAATAGCCTGCACCAAAACATCACGGTGACAACGGAACATGAGCAGAACGATAGTTTGCAGTATTTGGACATCTTGATAGAACGCAAGAACGATACGTAGATCTGTCTACCGCAAACCCACATGGAAGGGTCAGTATTTGAACTTTCATAGCTTTGTCCCAAAGCGCTACAAACAGGGCCTGATGCGGACTCTGTTTGATAGAGCGAGGAAAATATGCACTCCTGATACGCTCGAACAGGAGTTGCAACTGCTTACCAATGCCCTGACAGAAAACAGGTACCCACTTACTTTCGTCGCTCAATTTAGCTACCAGAAGAGAAACTACCCACTGTACCGAAATTGAAAGTAATGCTGCAACTACCGTTTAAGGGGGGCGATGTAAGCCAAATATTTCAATGACGTTTGAAATCCGAAGTGGCACTTGTGTACGCTGCGACCCTACCATATATATATATATATATATATATATATATATATATATATATATATATATATATATATATATATATTACTTTAGCTGGACATTTGTTTTTGTTCCTGGCTTTTTAATTTCTTTAATACGTTAAACCAGTCAATTACTTTGATACCCGTTTTGGATCCAGTGTATAAAGCGTGAACAAATTGATTATCTTTTGCGATCCTGCAGTACACATTGGTCAGGCCACATAGTTTGACTGCAGCTCGCTTCTCCGAGAAATTTACTTCAGATATATATATATATATATATATATATATATGGCTAGCAAATGCTATTCCGTTTTGATAAGGGTATATTTATTTTAAGGTTTATCTCCATCTGTAGTCATTTTAGCGCTAGATATTGCTTTAATCGCTGTCTTAGAGACTGTATTTTCACCGTGCTTTATTTAATTCTACAAAGCGCTTAATTTCTCCACTTTCACAACCATGGTAATTGGGTTTTAACTAGACTGAAAAAGTAGAAATTCGCGATTCGTTACTTTTTTATTTGCGTGTCATTCCTGTTCTACGATGCAGAATGCGAATAATAAAGTAAACTTGATGACGGTGAGCACTACTTCCAGGAAAATTGGAAACGAGTATTTTTTTCATTGAGCGACTAGACGAGTGTGTGTGCTTGATTCGTTTGGAGAGTGTGGCCGTTTTCAAGGATTTCATTATCATGAGGCACTACTATGTGTAGCGTGCTAGCTATGACAAGTTGACTATAAGTGAACCAGTTGTGTACTAGAAGTAACTAAAAGCTGGAATAAACTCACAGCAAAGCGTGTTTGCAAGAATCTGTCAGTCGAATGAAAATGCCATAAAGGCTAGTTAGCGGTACACTGCAAGCCATTTACTGATGGTGAATTTGTCTGAAAATGTATGATGAAAATCGCGGAAAGTATCTGTCCAGAGTAAAACCAAGAGTTTGCCAATGTTTACCTAGGACGCAACAATGTGGTTCGCAGGATTAAAGACATCTCCTGACATTAATAGATAAGTAGAAGCAAAAGTTGACTTTTCCTTAATTTGTTATGAAAGCACTAGTGCATCTGACACTGCCCAGATTTGAATTTTTTGAAAGGAGTTAACAATGACGTGTGTGTGAGGAATCGCGTGACCTGCAAAGTCCTAAGGACCAAACAAGAGGGCCAGAGTTACTTGCCTCTGTTGCTTCTGCTATCAATGACGTTACACTATCGTGGAAAAAATCACTGGAATTATTACTAAGTGCCTCAGCCACAACTGTCTAGCATAGTAGATTAATAACACTTGTCTGCAACAAAACAAGCGAAGAAGGGGGGGGCAAAGGCATTAAACTACACTGCACCATTCACCAACAAGGTATTTGTGCCAAACATCTTAGGTGTGATCATGATAGGAAGCTGCTGATAAAGGCTGTCAGCTGTCTTCGCTTCAAAGCGCTGTTTCATCGTCAGTTTCAGCAGTTTTTACTCGACATCCAAGGTGAATGCTGAGATGTTGTATCTCACAATGATGTAAGATGTCTTAGTCGAAGGACTGCACTTCATCGCTTGGACTTGCTTAGAAAAGAAATTGGAAAATTTATTTAACGTGAAGGACTATCGATGCCAGAACTACCTGATCCCGTTTGGCTGACTGATTTTGGATTTTTGTTTGATATTACACGGCACCGGAACTTGCTGAACATGCGCCTTCAGGGTCACGATGCAGTGATAAACCAATTGTATTCCTACATCAAGGAGTTTAGAAATAGGCTGCAACTTTTCCAAAGTCAACTGCCTGAAACGCGGCTTCATACCACATTTTCCATCACTACAGTAAATCGTAACAAGTCTTCTAGAGGGCAACATCAATACCCAAATGCAGCAGTAGTTCGCGGACATTGTACCCCTGGCTGATGAGTTTCATAGGCGCTTTATGGATTTTACAGTCAGTGGTAAGGAGATCGGGCTTTTTTCTTCGTCTTTCTCCATTGACCCTGACAATGCTCCAGGCCAACTGCAACTGGAGCGCATTGAGTTGCAAAGTGATGTCGAATGTCGCAGTCGGCACCAACTGTTATCTCTCATCAATTTTTGCCGCCGGCTGGTTAAAGACAGATTCCAATAGCTTCGAACATTTGCTAAGAAAATGTTCAGTTTTTTTTAGCTCGACATACTTCTGTTAGCAGAAATTCTTAGTTTTGAATGTTAACAAGAACCGTATGAGGCTAAGAGTAATTGCTCCTCACCTCCATAATATCCTGTGTATCCAAACCTGTGCCTTTGAGCCTGTCAAGACCCGTTTACTGCGGACAAGATTTCATTTTCACACTCCACATTAAAATAATGCAATAAACTGGTATAACATGTCATTTTTGGTTATGATCTCCACGTCAAACTTAATATGGCCCGACACATTTTTGCCTAATAAAATGTGGCCTTCCTTGCGAAAAGTTTGGACGCACCTAAACAGTCTACGTAAAGTCAAACGAGGAATTCTTACTCTTCTAACAGCGGATGGACTGAGACGAGCTCCGAAGCATACGGCGAATACTGTGTGCCCGCAATATTGCCCAAACTTTCACTGCGATCATTTGCTACCTAACTCTATGATTACGGTTGTCTCACCCCCAAAAATCACTCTTGTATCTTTCCCGGCAAACGCTAAAAATGCTGTTTAGGATGTGTAGGCACAGCTCTCCTGGAGTTGATAATATTCACCCGAAGTCACGTGTGGCGATAGGAGAGAGCCTGGCTGGTTTCTCCCAACACTTTTGAAATGTACGTGCCCGACATGGGAAACACAGAATAGTTACTCCAATTCACATTGGAGGTAGTCGTTCGGATCTATCCAACAACCGTCCCGCAATGCCACTACCGGTACTTCCAATGGTCATGGAAGCCATTATTGCTGATGCGCTAACGACCTCCTTGGAAGAATTTACCTGCGTTGCACCAGAATATCATGGCCTCCGATGAAGTCGATCATGCTTTACAAGTCTACTGCTTGCACGATCCAGCTGGACTGAAGCAGTAGCAGTGGCACATGAGTTACTGTAGTTTTTCTCAACTTTCAGACATTCGACAAGTTAGGCTATAGTAACCTTCTCACCTAACTGCAGACATTTTGCATTGGCGATCCTCTCTTAGAGTGGATCAGAAACTTTCCCCTATAGCGACGCTTGTAGGTAAGCTTGAGTATATCCCTATCACATGTGCCCCATGCTAAGGCTGATGTTGCATTCTTGATGCTTCTTCACCGCAGTTGGGCTAAACCAAATTACACTTAAACTAGGTCTATAAGCTAGCTAAATTTCATTCCACTTTATTTAGTTTTTTCTGCCTACATGAATAATCTTCGTTTAACTGGCCACGTTGCTTACGCTAATTGCGCTTATCCGGTAACTTAGTTGCCTTTGTAGCGTTTTTGAGTAACTTGTGGACATTTCTTGCTTATCGCGGACTCGTTGCTAACCAACTTACTTCATATGATAACTTAGCGAAGAGTAATGCCACCGTGTCTGTATGCATTATTGGATTTGTTTTATTTCATCTTGTCGTTTCCGGTGATTGACTGTTGCTTGATATCCCCTGGGTGGCTGCGCTTGATGTGCATGTTGACAAGGTGCCCACCTGTCTATTACCCACTACCTCGTTCATACTGGCTCCAGCAGACAGTTGGTCGTTGCTGGAGGGGACGGGGTGCACGTTTCTTGTGGCCGTGCTAGGCTCGAAGAGCGGTTCCATGCACTAAGTGTGGAGCGGACTACGGTCCAGCCACCGGCTTGTGTGCGCTTGATTCCCCAAATACAGCGTGCTTGTGTTTGCCTGTGAAGGAGTGTGGGCCGGCTCCGTTGATGAAACGTGGCTCCCATCCACATGCCTCCCGGTCTTATTCCTTTGGGTTTACACTGGATATGGGGTGTGTGGTTGGAGCTGTGGGTGGTGCAGCGCAAGCCACCCATGGTCCCTCTGTAGGCGCAGGCGTCCTGTGGCTGGCCACAGTGACAGGCAAATCCGAAACCAGATGCAGCCAACCATCCCTATCAGATCCTGTCCAATCGAATGCGGTGTGCCACATAGATCGTTACTGGGGCCACGGTTGTTCTTGAGGTGTATCAGCGATATCACACGCCTCATCAGCTCGAAATACCTGCTTTATGCCGCTGAGATGAAGGAGTGGATGGCGATCAATACACCAGATGATATCACAATACTTCAAGCTGATTTGGATAGGGTATACGAGTGGCCAATCCACAATCATCGAAGGCCGTCGGATTCTGTATCCGTGCATACTCAGCACTCTTCTCTAGATTACTGGCCCGCTCTACCTTTGGTCACCACCCTTGCATTCATTTACCACTCCGCATAAGTGACGTATACTTTGATCCTCACTCGACAACTTGGAATGAGTCGGAGGCGCTGTATCTACTGGTTCTCTTCGCTTTTCACCGCCGCTTTGTTCTACAGCATATGAGTACTCGAAGATGATTCCTATATGTCGCTTCGTGCATCTATCTAATCGTATTTCTGTTAATTCCTTAGGTTCCGGTCAGACCAGACGTTTAGCAATTCGATACGCTCGACTTTGCACTGATGCCCAATTCTTGCGACGCAGGTTCCGAGGTGCCACTTATCAAGTTTATCACAATCGCGCACTGGTTCACAACATTCGAGTTCTAGATTTTGTACACAGTCTATTCCATAAACTTACCACGGTCTTCCTTAAAGGGAGCTGAATCACGTGGTTGTTACACACATTGGTGCACTTGTAGTTGCACAGCTTTTTATGTGCCTATTCATCAATCTTGCAGATTTCGATCATGAAATGAGTTGTCCTTTTCCCATTCCTGCACTGGTCCGACACTATCCCCATCTCCGAAACCATCGATATTCCTGTTTTGTGGTCCTTTGCTGAAATACGAAAATGTCTTTCTTTGCTACAGACAGCAAGCTAGTGCGATCATTACTCCGATTGCAGATATTTCCGTCATCTGTTCCCGCTTACTCGCGTATTCGATGAGTTTATTTCTGCATTTCAAGTGTGTACTGCGAAGCGAACCTGGCAACACTTATACTGGTAGTTATCCTGCACCTTACCCATCGGTTTACACATCCGCACAACAGCGGACTTGATTTGCACTCCACGAGGTACACAAGATTATCCTATTTCTGGTATCCGGGCAATATTCCACACGTAGTTTTAATATTCAGCAGGGATGACATTCAATTGCTATTGTTCGCCGACCCGTGGCCTTAAGAATCCCAAACCTGCTTTGGTATCTGAAACCACGGGTTTGAGCCTGCGTACGCGACCGGGTGACCCTCACAGTATCCTGAACCTATGTGCGACTGGTTGTGATAGCGGGGTAGCGAAGCATCGGTACTGCCTACCGACGTACTACTGATGCCCTGAGTATGTTCAATATATCTCAGAACTCCGGCACCGTGCCAGCTCAGTGACGAGAAGCCATAGTTGCACCGCAACAAATCAGGCTCCCTGTTCAAAACTAAGGAAAATTACCCAATATGTCACACCCATCAAAAATGATCGAGCAACATATCAAAGCTAGAACGATCGCATTTCTGTTCTCAAGAAATCTACTAAACAGCTCTCAGCACGGCTCCTTGCATGCCATGCCACTTGTAATTTCTCGACCATCTAACTGCCTCACTTACACTTGGTATATCGGCATCGACATGCACACGACCTTCTAACGGGTGCCTCATGCCTTTGTTGTCCTTCCGAACATCATTATCTGATCTGATTTTTACTTCTGATCCACCTGTGATCAACGTCGTATACTAGTATGCACTTGCCCAACCATACCGATGCAAGCGTGTCCCACATCGTGGAGAATAAAGATTCATTTATTTAATGTTTGTTCCTGGTAATATGGATCCGTGTTCGACATTTTACCGGCCCTCCTTTTCCTCATCCTCTGAATGACAGAGAATACGCCACACGTTATTCTTTCCTGCTGTTCTGCTCACCGGTGTTCACATTCAAGTTATTCAGTCCATGTACTTCTTCGACAGTGAGCACATCCTCTTAGGTACCTCGGATTGTGTCATTTCCATTAAGCCGGTACCTGGGGGTCTGGTGCCTACGTCCACAGCCATGCTCATTGCTAATACCTCTGCTCTGCACTGGAGCGATCATCCATTTGGCTCTAATTTTTCTTATCGCCACTTCGATGCTTTCTCTGCAGGGCTAAATTGCCAACCACTTCCATCGAATCATGGATCCCAGCCTTTTGAAAGAACGCGATGCTTTTCTCAAACGAGCAAAGGCTCTTCCAAGTTTCGAGAAACCGCGTATTCTTCCAACTGCAACCATTCAGCCTGCCTCGAGTAACTTGCGTCGTTTACCCACTTCTGCTACACCGGATTTGCGATCTCTGGAACTACGGCCCCAGTTACAAGGGAAGTTCGCAGTGCTATCCAGGGTAGTCAAATACATGAAGGTATGTTGAATTTGGAATCTAGTATTTGTCCACTCGAATTGCGTTAGCAACGGCATTTGGATCGGGACACGCACCCTCTCACCGTGGAAGAGATTCTCGAGGAAGCTATGCTGCACGATATCCCTCAGTCGACCGTGCGGTGGCTGGAAGACGAAGTAACTTTCTCATACTTCTCAGCTTTACTCACTTTTCTGTATTGTTTAGGCTTTGCCAAATAATCCAAAGATTCGTGTTATGCCCGATCGGAAATTCGTATTCAAACCTCGGTACGATATTCGCACTCGTCAAGACTTGTATCAACTTCTCAAACGTCATGAACTTAGGGGCCTAGGTGGCATCTACATGGACGACGTCGCCGAGTCGATTCCAGACGCAGAGAAGGTAATCAACGTAAGTTTATTCATATCATGTGACTGACAATTTATCCTCACATAGACATATGATTAGAGTTGTAATCACATTTTTGCATGTTTTGACGTTTCGTTTCGTATCGTCACTCCTTGATGTAAATCGACCAGTACGCTACCCCTCATGGGTTCGCAGTCATGTCTTGTTATTCGTTGACCACATTTGTGCTACCAATTTGTTTATATCCCAAATTGATCGCCGAATTTCACTTTGTTAGAATAATTCGAAATACAGGTAGGTCGATTTTCCCTTCAATTGTTGAGTTGCTCGCCGAATTTGACAGCTTGATTGCAGACGTTTCCTTGCCAGTCTTGGGGGCATCATCATTGCAGGAAGGGCAGTAGTTTGATGGCAGATATTAACTGAAGGTGAACCCAAGGTCGAATTTTGCTATAGGCTACACTGATGTTTTTAACTTTGCTCTACTCCGGTTACTTAGTCATGATACCATACGTTTGTCATTTGCCACAAAAATATTATTGGGTGTTATCGGGATTTTCTCGATTGGCTTGGTGAAGTAGGTACAAATTTTTTTTCATTCCGAGTTAACGTCAGCTATTCTGTTCCATTTCGGGTAACGGATTACTTTCTTTCGAATTGCTGTTTTCACTTTACGTATGATGGTTCTGTCTCATTGGTTTGTATACTGGATTAATTTCGATACGCATGTTGATCATCTACTTTGTGGAAAACCACGCTTCGAGGAACCCCTCATTTCGCATCTTTTCTTGCGCAAAGATATCTTTTGTAATAATAATAAATCGCCAGCTGCACACCATAACGGCACTTCGCTGCCACGCGACCACCACCAGTCGCGCTTGGGCTGAGGATACCGAGAGGACGCCCGCCCCTACGCGGATTCGAACCGGTGACCTTATGGTTGCAAACCAGACGCGTATACCGCTCGGCCACCGGCCGATTCTCTTTTGTTCACCACTAAACTGTGTCTTTCCTCCACGTGTGCAGCGACCAGTGACGCTGCGTATGGCTCCCCACACTTTTCGTACTCCTGAATCATTGTTCTTAATTGCCTTTCTGTTTATCCTACATAGTGCTTTTCGCACTTTCTCCAATTAGCCTTGCACACAACATTTTGTCTCTTTTGCTTTTTGTTTTCCTCTTCGGTCTTGATGGTGTTCACCTCAGCGTGCCGTTTGGCCTTTGGGTTACCATAATGTATGGCTGTTTGAACAGTCCGCCCTTCACTTCAGATATCTTCTTCTTACATGGCAGAATAATCCACTTCCTTGTTGTTGGTGCAGACGGTGCTTGTGTGCTTTTGGTTTAAACATCTTCGGGTGAATGACTGGAAAGTCGTTAGACAGTAGTAGGGGATTTGTTTGGTTTTGGCGAAGATTCGTCGCAGCTTCACTCAGGCAGACAGCCACCACACATCCGGGTAAGCGCTAGACGGCCATTTCGTCTTTTGGGGACAGGATTTTGCGGGTGTTCGCTACTGATGAGCGCCAATAAGACGAAACGGCCATCCTTCGTTTTCCTAGATGTGTGGTGGCTGCGTGAGTCTAGCTGCGTCACCAAAAGATTGAAAATTCATTCCAAAATGCACGTCCTGTGATTGGATTGCGATCTGCAATCTCAATATAGATCACGATTCCCATTGACATTAACTTTTGTCTATTCGATCACTAGGACTGTAACTGGTGCAGTGTTAGTGATTTTCAGGCAACCCAATTTCTTTCTGTTTCAATGGGAATCACGGTCTACACTGCGATGGCGCATTACAATCCAATCATACGACGTGTACTTTAAAATGACCTTCCAGTCACTCATTAACCGTTGTGCCCGTCGTAACTTGTTGATTGAAGGGGTAGTTTCAACTAATATTCCAATGGTCCCGGGTTCGATGCATGCAGTCTCTACCTGATGAGACCAAAGAAGGTTGAAACACGACTTTGTGGAGTATCGTGTTCTCCGGCGGGCAGAACTCAGTTCCCTTCTGCTTCATCTTCGGATGGAATTGTGTGAATGTCCAATACTTTCGGACAACTTGAATAGGTTCCAAATCGGTGAATATACTTGGAACCCATGGAAAAGTCAAGAGTCCACAGAGGTTTTGGTATAATCGGTTGATGCGTTTGTTGAGGAACGTTTCACTTTTGACACAAAGGCTTCGTCAGGCCAGGTAAATCAGTATACAATTGGCACGGCACTTCTTAGCTAAGAGGGACAATAAATGCGATAGGAGAGATATGAGCCAAGGTGTTAGTAGAGTCACACTGGTTCGGCCACAGTGGGAATAATTCAGGTATTCCCTTATGCTTCATGGCATTGACGGATTGGCCCATAGTGATGACATTAGGTAGTCGAGTTGCACTTCCAGTCTGATACGCACATCGACGCTCGCCAGACTGGTCGCTCGCCACGCACTTGAGAGTTTTCCCCCCCTCCATTCTATTCACACAGTTGTCTGATTTGGATAATCCCAACGACTCGGCATTCAACCGCTGGAGTGTAGCTCGTTATCTCTACATGATCCAGATCGATTTGGAGACCCTTGTCTAGTGAATGCACCTAATACCCTATACTCAAACTCGTTCCTCGGTGGTCGTGCAATGCGCCTTTTGTGTTTTGTAATCCGTGTGCATAACTGTCTCGCTATTTGACCTATGTATACATGTGCGCGGTGTTAACACTTATTTTTATAGACGCAGTTTGTTGTGTTATCCATAGGAAGTGGGTCCTTCAAATCTACCAGCGCTAGACGTGGTGTTTGGCCATTCTAGAAGAGCACTGGTCTATCCTTTTTGTTCAGCACCATTCGAAGTGCCTTCCTTGTACGCTATTCCTACCGTCCCTATACACTGCTTCGTAGGTTCTGTTTGTAGGTTTAAAACTTTATGTAACTGGCATTTAACTTAGCGTCGTCGGTAACCACTCTAATGCTTGACCCACAGTCTGTTTCCGTGCGACTATCTTCTGCCATCGTACACGAGATCTGTTCCTTGTGGAACCTTGTTGAGGCTATCCAAGCGTAAACGTGTTTCGGATGACCCGAAGTGTAGTGCAGCACCCCATAGATATCAATCGGTTCACGGTATATCGTTTTCAAATTAAGGGCTTAAGGTTACGAAGATATCTCTTTTCAATACTTATCAAGCAAATACAGTTATCTGAATTCAAAAACAACACAACGCAGTGAGCCAATGAAGGCCTGCAGCACTTGAGCTATGACACTACATTTGATCGATAGTCTGGTCAGTCAACTGAAGACAGGCGTTACAGCATCCGGCAGCACAATAAAAATCGCACTCAGTGGGCGCCATTGTCAGACGCTGAGGAGTTACCGCATGGTCACGGCGAGAAGAGTGCTTACACAAGTACCTTTTGTTTCCCTGACTCCGGCTACATCATTCTGATGGCAGTAGGCTCTGTCGTTCTCAGGAGGCGTTTCTCAAGTGTTTTTGGGTACTAGTCGGGCACAGCGTAGAAGGCTTTGAATGAGTCAGCTGGTCAGATTTCATATCCACTTTAGAACAAGTGCACCATGATGACACTATTAAAGTCTCCGACTACAATGTACATTGCGCCCCAGATGTAAACGAGTAGATATACTATCTACCACTGCGACTGGACAGGAAGTATTTTTAAGGCGTTGAGTAATAAGTGGGGTAGTCTACACCACAACATGCGGGTACGCTGCCGCATAGGCTTTGACTACTGCAGTTGAGAGTCTTTTGTTCAGCATATCGAAGGCGACATTTACTTTGAATAACCTGAAGAGTGAGACATCCTTTCTAGGAACAGTCATGACAGTTTTCGGGCTCACACAAACTGGCGTGCTTTCTGGTGAACGGGATGTGGTAACCGTTCTCTTGCAATGTTCCAAGGATGAGATTATTCTCTTTTCGATAGTCCCCTGACTACGCTTAACAGTCACCAAAGTATTGTCGACGTATTGCACCCACAGTTTTGGATTGGTAATTGGTAGATTCTCTTCTAACTTTTATATGACGATCGCGATATATCCTGATACAAGATCCCATTTGCTGTACCATTGACTTGCTTGTCGATTTCTCCGTTGGATGTGCAGTAAGTTGATAAGTATGGATGAAAAAGTCTGCATATATTTTCGTTGTCATATCCCTAACTTTAACTCCACCATTGTCCAACCGTACTGCGATGAATTCGTTTGCCAGTTGTTAGTTGACATAAGTAAATAGGGCGGTCACGTCAAAGGACACCATTGTTTCCTCATGGTCTACTCACAGTTCTTTGGGCCACATCAGAAATTGCTGGGTATTATTTATAGGGTTGCGATCTGCTAGTTAGATGTTTGAAACGCCTCCTCAATTCTTTTGCCAGATTGTACGTGGACATACTTGACATACATTGATCGTAGCGGTGCACCATCTTTGTGTACTTTTAAAGTCCATAGAATTGTGCGAGGTTGGAGTCGTGAGCCCTCATACTATTTCGTTCCTCTTCCGTGATTCCGTTCAACTGCTAAGCTTTTTCATTGTTCTCTTTGTTTCATTTGTTTGCTGTAAGGTTAAATGCTTTTCACTATCGCGATGGTTTGTGTGCCTCAACGATCTATTGAGCTATGCTGGATGGTCTTTTTGCCCCTTCAGAATCACTCATACCAGATTGGTCAATGGTTAGAGGCCAGACGAACTCAGTCTCTTGGCTCTCCAGGTTGGAGTGACGGTGGCGGCTTATTCAATAAAATGAACTTCTTGGAACCCAGTGACAAAACCGTGCTGCCTTACAGTCAGGTTTTTGAACCAAAAGCTCTGGTTGAGAATCCTAATCGTTCACCTGTTTAGGCCTGGGCAACCAAACGGTATTATGTGCATGCAATAGGTGTAATCTTTCTCTAAACTATATATTGGTACTGTGTTTATCGCAGGGGATAATCAACGGCGCCCTATCTGCTTTATCGAGTAGGGTTGATAGGGGTGAGGATGCTAGTGTTCAGACCTTCTCGTTTTCTTACTGCCCCTCCTTGTCGTCCCGTTAAAAGTTCACTTTTATGCCCCGCTGTTTTCAACCCCCCCCCAATTTTCGGCCTTCCCCTTCTTGCTTCGATTTGCGTTTGACTTTTAGTTTTAACTCACACGCAATCGCAAGACGTCGCTCTGGTCCAGACGACAAATCCTTGTTCAACCAAACAGACGTCAGTTCATTCGTTTCCTTTCGGAGTCCTCGGTTCTCGCTGAGGCTGACATGTCTCAACGTGCACACATAGCTATAGTTTAGCCAACAGGCAGCACTTGCCTGAACACTGGAGACCCTATCAATCGATATATGTTACTTATCAGAAACTTGTCTGTAAGATTTGAGTTCCGTGATTACCCTACTATTCCCAACGTGCGACACTGGCGCCACTTTCTCACTTCGTTTGTCCGGAGATGACGCAGCTTCAAATGTCAGTCAAGCCGGTGTGGGCATTGCTTTGAGACCCCGGGCCGAGCTACCCTAATCGATTGTATCCCACTCAACAGCCTGATATGCACCGTCAGCTTTCCTACCTCGTTCAAAAAGTCGAAGTCACGCGCGGACAAACGGTCCCTGCTAGTCATTGCTGTACACACCCCCACAAACTGTAGCACCTACTCGGTGAAAAATGTCTTGTATCACTAACTGAACGAGCTCATTTGTTGCAGGAAAATCACGGATACCGGGGTGATTACTGTTTATCCGAACGCCCGAGTTGGAAAATTGTCTACTTATGAGCTGCATTTGTGCGGTCAATATGGTGTAGGCTCCATGGTAATGGTGGGCTGTTGTTACATTTGTGTGATGATGCTGGTCTATTTCTTGCGAGTACTAACTTCCGGCACCACTCGCAGAAGTGACATAACGCCCACCAGCCTTGGACGCAGATCGATCACATCGCGCTCAGTTACCACTGGATTGGCTTTGTCCAAAACCGTCGCTCGTTTTGGGGCACAGGCTTCCTTGTCCGATAGCGAAACGTTAAACGACCTTAACATCATCAGCGAGGAGGATGAACTTGCCGAACTAATTGTGATTCTGTGCCTACATCGTTGTTGTTTACTCCGGCTGTAGTGAACGTGTTCGATCTAGCAAATGTATTTCCTTGCTACTTATACTTGTTCATAATTATTGTGCTCGTTTCTACATGTCATTATCAAATGATGTACGGTTACTTCTGGGCACTATACGGTACAACAAGAGACCAAGTGTAACTACAATAAATTAGTGGGATGGTGCTTTTCTCCATTTACATTCTTCACGCCGAAAAGAACTCATTTAGACCGCCTTGATACTTTATTTTCGCTTGTGTTCCATCAACTTTTTCCGGCAATTTTATTCCCCTATTGTCTGTTGCTCGAAGTGATTTAGCATGCAACTAGCATGCTGCTTTTCGGGGAATATGATTTCTCTCGTCTCCTTCTGCACCAACATCGAAAGGCTAGCGCACCGAGGTTCTTTTAACCCGCTCCCTCAGTCATCATCGCGAACACTTGCATTCTTCATTTGGCTGTCACATTAGCCTGTACCCCCACAGTCGATTATGCTTCACAACTCACCTTGTGATCTCTTTGTCGAGTTGGAGTTAACCCATTCATGTCCGCTTCGGACTCATTTGGTGTTGGTTGTTAGTGTAACAGTAGTTTGGAATTACTTTGGGTCACCTTGTTTACTTGTCTGCAATTTTAACAATATTTTGTACTACTGGTCGCAAAATTTCCTCGAGTGGTATGCTTCTTATAGTCCTCTAGTATGTTCCGCTGCGCGTTGCAACTAATGCCACAGTTTCACTCCCATCTCTGTTTCTGTAATTAGTTTGGCGGACCCATGAGTTTTACCGCTACTACAATAACATTTAAGTAGGTATATTGATCGGTTTTTGTCTTCTGGTTTGTTCTTTTCGTTAGCTATGCTCCCAAGCATGTTGGCATCCGTCCGATCCGATTATACTTAAGTGGACACTATGATGCTTTCTTACCTGCAGACCGAAACCGTTTGTTTTGAAGTCGCACGGCTTTCTGTGCTCGTGATGTCACTTTTCATTTTACTTTGTTATTTGTGATATTGAATGTTGTTCACATTGTCTTCTCTCCTTTTAAGGGTTTCGGGGATCATGTAATTCGGATTGTCACCCCTCACGACAAAAAAACCATTCTCTTCTACAATGACAAATCCTTTGATCTCAATGTCGATGAAGGTGAGGCATCTTCCTATTTCGCCTTGTTTCCCTCCTGCGTTTTCCTCCTTTCCTCTTACGCTACCTGAATCGAGTGTTGAGTTACCCCTGCGCCCTCTCTGAAATTATATGCAAGCAGCATCCAATCAGATTCCTGCTTCTGTGTTTCCACACTACCCAAACCCATTGTACCGGGCATTTCGATTCTAATTCTATGGTAGCTACTCACCGCCCAATGCTCTCTCTCCCTCCGTTGGGTATACCGGAGGTAGCATTCGGTGTACCTAAGTTTACGATAGCGATGGTTCCACTCAACTGCTGCGTTCGCGCAATAGTAACCCACTAGTCGTCTTTTGAATCTTACTTGCTGGTTCAGCTATAGTCCCTATCCGTATATAAATGGTGGTCTTCCAGTCCTGCTCTAACCAGATTGTTGTACCAAACGCTTGTTCCTTTTTCCTTCTTTCCTCGCATCCAGAATTCAAACAGCAATGGCGGGCAGTTAGTGTGGAAGGAGTACATGAGACGAAGATTGAGGAGTACCTTAAGCGCTATGGTATTTCTTCAATGTCAGGAGATCGAAAGCGATTTGTAAGTGGACTGCCCCTAAAACCCTTCGCAGTTATGCAAATCGATCATCTTTTTGTTACTTTTCGACCCATCATAATGCACTACAGGTTGTATGCTCCTTTTTCCAATCCCAAGCTCCATTTGAAGCTTTTTCACCCTTATTCACACTACCCATGGACGTCGACGGGTAGTTACAGCTCTATCCCCTAGTAAATACGTTTACGACGATCGTCTTTATCCCAACATGACGAACGACGTAACGTTCATACCCTTTCCTTTTGTCTACGGCTGTTCGCCCTAGCGGCTTTACTCGCCTCAGTTGCGCATTTTTGTCTGGTGTGTGATCATTATGATCCTGCATCTAACGTCACGTTAAGTTCGTTCTATCAACCGTCCTTAACTTATCATCCCATAGTTCCCGCATACTCACCCATGTACACTCGCAACTAGCAACTCACATCGGTCTATTTCAGATCCCTGCCCAACGCAAGAAACCTGGCCAAAAGCGCGCATTCAACAAGCCAGTTAAGTTGAAGGATAACGAGCACGTGGTCGACATAATTGAGGATTTCTCCGACATGATCAAATGAACTTTTTCTCGCCCCTACAATGCTTCCTTATCTGCTATTGCCTGAGTCTTTCTTTTGCTCCATTCCTCTCACTGCTCGACAACATTTTTTGACAATCTTCTGTTCTTTTTATGTTGCTCAGAAAGTATAGTTATTTATTTACGTCACATAGGCTTCGGTATCGGTTGGCTCTGTTTCCCAGCCGAATCAAATCAGTTGCGGGATCCACTCCTACACCAACCTACTTCTACTCTTGAACTTTCAATCCAATCTTGTCCTTGGCGTTGCTGTTTTCAGCCTTTTACTAAATATCACAACTCGCTGCAGTATTTGACTGCGTGTTATATGTTTATCGAGTACGACGGACACTCATTTGATGCATAACGAGGTGTCTACCACTAGTCTCATTGTAAATCACCTGTGGAGGGACACCCATTTGATATGCGTGCTATGTTCCATTTAGACAAATAGATGGCTCACAGTAGGTGCTGAAGCCCATTACTCCGCCAAACAAGAACAATAATAACTGCAATACGTCCGTACGTTTTACAACCTCTTGTCTATCCTACAACTACAAAAATTGCACATGAGCTGTACCCACCCGTAGTCTTCCATATCCCTCATACTTCTTTCATCTGTTAGTGTACGAGATAAAGTATTTAAACGTTTGTACAACGAACTTAAGGGCTTTGAATAGTTTACCTGGGCTGATACATCAGATAGAATGTCTGCCGCTATACAACACACATCTGTCTCTCGTTCTAGTGCCAAACGGGAAACGGCCTTAATGAGCCTTCCGTCAATGACTGGGGCCCAGATTGCACTATTACCTGATGAATTAGTTTTATTCGACAGTGCCTCTTTCAAACGTAATTTATCCGATCTCCGTGAGCACAAGTGTGAGCATGAATATGCAGTTGTGAGTGGCTGAGGGTCTCCTTTGGATGAACGCAGTCATTATTCTGCAGTCTAAAATTTCTGCGCTTCATTGAATCCCAAACCCAGGAATACTTTTCTCCCTACTTTCCCAGTGCCCTATTCTTGCACCGCTCACATCGCGGCATGTGGTACTCCCTTTCTGACACGCTTCTCAGATGAATTTACCAACTGACATGTACTAAGTACTCTGCTAGCTAGTGACATCCTTGTAGTTACTATGGTATGGGAGCATCTCTTTGATCTGAACTGCTTTTATCGTTAGATTGCGGTTTCCGGTATACTAGGGTGCCACTCTGGTCCACCAAATTTGCAAGTGCTTGATGATACCAGACTCAGGTCTATTAAGTTCTGCAAACCTATTTCTCTTGCCTTAACATTGCCATCCCTTTTGGATTTTATAAGCGCCCACAGCGCATTTTTGCTAACGCTTGTCAAAAGATGTTGTCTTTCCATTTTATTTTCGGACTGTAGTAGTGTGTCGTATTTCTATCCCTGTAGCGGTATCCGCGCCTTCAAACTGCGTATGCATGCTTTGCCAGCTCCAAACAAGCCGCTTTCCTCGGTGTTTCTGTGTTTCCAATAGACCATATCCATGGGTTCGGAAGTGAGCGTTATTCCCAAAGATAATTTGTTCAAGGTTTGGGCACTGATCAGGCTATTTGGTGACAGGTAAGGGGTATTTTGATGCCCGTCTAAGTCAGTCATGAGTTTGGTACATGACATGGGAAGCGGACGAATGGCCGCTATTACAATCGACTGTTTGTAGGAGCAACTGAAAACATAGTCACCCGATGCATTTGACCGTGGGTTTGTCCAATGAAATCAGTCGATTACGATATGGCAAGTCCGGCAATCCACCTATGAGCCTCAATAAGCAACTGAAAGGTCTTCCTTTCATGTATCTACACTGAGACTGAACAGAACAATGGGATCGATTTTATTAAGGTTTGTTTATTATCATAATGCACTTTGCCTTAATAGCAGCACATCAGATTATTCATCTCTTAAGTCATTGATTAACTGGCTCCCGGCTAGTGTCGAAAGGTCGACCATGTTCTCTGCCGTATACCGACACATTTTGTACTCCAACTAACGTCGGGATCCTTTGTACTCTTAGAACCCTTTACACTTGTCACGACGCTTCTTAAGCGCTCCATCGATTCCCCTCCTCCACCACCCGGGCTTATGGATATGTCTCCCACGACGAAGAGAAACAAACTCATTCAGTAGTTGCACAAGCCCAGTTTCAAGTAGAAGCCATCCAGGTCAACTGGATTCCGGATTAGGAACAGGCATCTCTGTTCCAAAGATATCTGTTCCTCAATTTCATACAATCAATACTGCAATTTCTCACGAGTCGAGAATTCCTTGCAGGTCTCGATGTGTTTAAATCAAAGTAATGACGCAAAATCCCTTTTAACTATAGGTGCTTCTAGACGCAGCTCTGTTAAGCGACCATGTCTGCTGAGCACACCATCCAACGTGAAGGAGACACTGGCGATACGAATTCTAGTCGTTACATTGACTAATTGTTCGCACACATTCTCGTACATCCACTCTATCAGTTCCTGCTCCAGCGTGCCCACCATGTTTATGGTGCTCTGCCAATCAGCATGAGGAAGCTTTAGTTCGCCAACCATTAAGAAATTAGTCGCAGCAACCACCGCGCGCCTCGGTACTGCACAAGTACTTGATCCTCATTTCATGCGGAGGATGGGCTGCGTTAGCTACACAAAATCTCCAATGTACTCCTCACCAATAAGAAGCATGCTACGACCTGAACGTTCGCTTTACTCACGATAAAAGGGGCATCCTAATGAACATACTGGCGTTTTGTAAGCAGTAGTGCTCACCCACCAGTTTGATAACCAGACCTATCGGCTTGGTAGCCCACGAAATCCACCAGCAGCAGAGGGAAGGTCTTGTCGGCCTTTTTTCTGGACTAGCCAGTTTTTTGAAGTCCGACCAGCCCGCACCGACGGCGCACCGTTGATGCACACTGGTCCACACGATCATCATAAATAAAAAATAACAAAAACCTGGACTCAGCGACTTCTGCTGCACACCCCACCTTGGAAGCCCTTACTCAAGCCAATGCAACTATTCGCACCCACCCTCACATTCCGTTTTTCTCCACTAACAGCTCCATCGAAGGATTTATCCTTCTTGGGGAGGCCCATTTAATGTACCGGAAAACACGCTCTTTCAGTATTTCGCAACGTTGGATTTTACGGTTGTTTTAACCTTCAAAATGTCCACTTGTCTTACTGACTGCACATCCGTTGACACGAAGCGTTTTGGTGAATACCTTGCTGCACCCTTCTCGCTCCGGTTGATTCTCTTCCTATTTTTGTAGCCTGCACAATGTACGTTTGGCTCAGTCGTCTCCAGCTTCTATACCTTCCCGTATTTGATGCGTCTCTTACGTGTCATTGATTACCGACTAGTATCCCAGGTGTCACCCAACATGCTTAGCCCGGTGTCGTTACGTGACAACTGGCCGTGGATGCCTCTATTTCCAATCCACTTTACAACTTACCCCTAGAGGACCTCAGGTTTGTTTTTTAGGACAATATCCTATCCTTCAGAGCTTCAACAACACTTCTCCATATTTCATTCGAATCGTCGAATCCACCACCAGTTACACAGTACGATGTCACGACTTCGCCACAGAAATGGAACAGCTTAGTTCCATTGTCGGCTCCGTGCATCGCTGTGCCATAGGTGCGGTCAGTGCACGGATGGTTTCTATGCGCTTGGCGCAACAACCGAACGGCGACGCGGGAACGTCGACACCTGGTTTTCTATCCATTGTTTCCAACCCAGGAAGTCCTAGTATTACATTGCCCTTGTTACTGTACAATTACCGTCGATATACTACATGCCTTCTAAATTAGCTAACGTGTTCATACGCATGCGGAAGAGCGCAAACGAAATACGTTGACCCCAGATAGCACAGCCTTAACATATGCGGTATTACGGCACCCACAGCCTAACCGGATTAATCCGGACCACTTATTACCCCAGAAGTATTCTCAGTAACCACGGATAAGTCTGACGTATATGCTCAAGGCGCTATGCGTAAGGTAATCACCCAGCGTGCCTACTGGATGCTGTACAGTCGAAGGGCAGGAAACGTACTTGCATGGGGACACCAGATCCTGGGAGATTGTGCAGGTAGTAGGTACGCACACCGAAAGGTGACATCGAAATGCAGTTACCCGATGATAAAACAACTCACGTCAGCAGTACATACAAGTGAATGGCTTGTATAAAAAGTAAACGGGGCATGTAGAAATCAGGGGAATTGAAGCGCAGGTGTATTTCCTGATTCCTCAGTGCATTGCTTCGGCACTGAATCTTTTACCTAAATGCGGTTGTTCAATGAATGTATGTAGCGTGAATAACTAGTACCTAGTACATGATGCCTTGTTTCCTTACAACACGTCGTTTGGCTGTTCAATGCCAGGCGTTATATAGACACATCCGAATCGTTTTTGGAACGTCCGATAGGGTGACTTCATTTTCAGTGAATCGTTCAAGTACTATTGTTGCGCGGAGGCGTAACGAAAGATATTGCACCTACGTTGCATGTGCGCGTACATGGTTGTACGCCGGAATGGGAGCATATTACCGACTCCGCAAAAGTTGAATTGTCCTATAACCTTGGTGGAAAACATCCTTTCGGGAGTTCACGCGGTTGCGTTGGCAACCGTTTCGCCGGGTACTCGAAATAGGGATTCCTTATAATGGCGGATACGGTCATTTGTAATTGCGCTTACAAAGTAGTTTATCATTTCCTCAGTAGAAAGCAATGCATCGAAGGATCGCATCTCTTCCAAGCTGCAGAGCGTTAAGGTCAATGCGGCTGATATTTGGCTGACAGAACGATTCATATGTTTCGCCATCGCGTTCATGCTTTAGCTCAGGTTGTCTACCTGCTTTAACAACAGGCTCTGATTGTCTGCTCGGGAGCATCATGGAAACCGTAAAGGCAAACATACTCATTATTTGGTGCAACATTTGCATGTACAATGCATGCATCCGCTTAACATCTTGGCAGCATTTAGAGAAGGTACCCCCATTTGAATCATTAGTGTGGGCAACTTACGTGAAACAGGCTATGAAAATAGAACGGCGTGTGTGCCTGAAGTTGCACCTGGAATTTTGGAAGATATAATAATTTCTTCTCTCGGTAAACCTACCAACTTGGTTTTTGTTACTTGTCATCAATCCATCTAAATGGACTTTCGTTACCTCATAAGTGGTTGACAAGTGGAATTAATGCGGCGTTATACGTTCCGACTGCTTCCGTCAACTCGTTTGCGTACGCAGTAGGTAAGGTATCATCTCCCAAAATGGATATGGAGGCAGACTGCCAGAAGAAGAGCTGGAAAGGCGGTGGCTTCCTAAAGGAAACGGCTGCGAGTTTTTGTCGTT